CATTCGTTGATGTAGGAGATCATTTTTTTTTAAGAGAGTCAGATTTTTAACCTAAACAAGATTTTGAATTAAATTCCCAAAATACCTAACATTGATGAAATATGAAGAAGTTTTCCTCCCCTTAACTTCCCTTATCCAAATATTTCATCCAAGCAGGAACTCATTAGAAGGGAAGCTGACATTTTCCAAAGCAAAAGGATAACTACTAGGAATCGGATTTAACAGCTTACAAGCAGAGGCTGCAGAGCTTATATAATAAGATACCCATGAATTCCCTGATCATGCAATGACGAGTTAAAGTAACTTTTGAATGAACACTTTGATTTCTATGCTTCTTTTCCAAATCAAATTTAGGAGAATAATGTTTTGTTTCATAGGAGGGGAGTTTCTTTCCTCTACAAGAGAAGAAATCAAATATCTCACCCAAGTAGCAATGCCCAATTGGTGAATTAGATCTGTTCTGGTTTCAAAAGCCTTAAACCACAGGACAGGACAAAGAAAAGGCGAATGCTCCAAAGTTTCTTCATCCTTGACATCCAAAGAAGCATAAAGATGATACATTAAGAATCTGCCTGAAATGGCTTATAAATAATTTTTTAATCATGATTTATGAAGTCAGGATCTGAGAAAAGTTTTGTCACAATTTACATGAAATATATTTATAAGGATTTATGATTGTGATTGTAAACAAGACCAAAGATGATGAGCTTTTAAGAATTTCTACTATTGGTAGAGAAGCTTTCAGGAATTTCCATATATTTATTTGGGTTGATGAGAAGCAATAAGCTCAATTAAAATGTTGAAACCATCTTTACCAAGGTTACCTTAAAATTTTTTTCACCCCATATATCGTTTGCACCCTGAATGGATAAAGGACTGTTAACGATTTGTCTAGAAATCCGAGAGCCATATAGTCTTCTTATGAGTTGAGCGTTCCATTTGATCGTATATCAGTTATTGCTTCCTTTTTAGTAAGATTGGCCATCGTTAATGTCTGATAAATAACAAGAGGGCTATTAGATCTTGTAGGCCCCCATAATTTATGGCTTACATGAATATTTGAGCTTAATATCCACTCACCTAGGATTAAGAACAATCAAATCTGACGTAGAACAATTTTTCTTCCAAAACCAAGAGGCATTTATAGGGAACGTTTGTTGGCAACAATACCTAAATTTTCCAAAAATTCGGTGAATCTTTCAATTCCTCTTTAGTGCTATGCATGACTATTTAAGAAGAATAAAACCTTCGAATATTGAAGAGGCTGCCTCCAGCCAGTGGCTCATTATGTATGCAAGCTCACTTTTCATCTTGCTTAATTTAATAGCCCAAAATTACTTATAACTTAGATCCCACAATTCCAAGTAATGTGGGATTCTTCTTTTAATACATTGACACACATTATTTACACCAATCTTGACGAAGAATTTGAATTCTTATCAATTCACTCGACCTCCATAGTAGCAAGAAGAAGGAGAGAATTTTTCTGAACACCCATTATCCTCCAAATATGATTAACTAAAAGAGATAGATTAATTTGATTAATTGGTTTCAACCAAAGTCCCCCACCTTTTATTACAAGGCTATATAAGACATTCTCAGTTAAAAAGTAAATTTTCTTTCGATCACTAGGGGAACTGCAAAGAAATCCATGTAAGAAGAATTTAAAAAGGTTAATTACTTTTATGGGGGTAAAACATGGCATTTGATAAATATCGGGCAAGGAACTAAGTCATACTCCTTTGATCCTATTTATAAAACACTTCTAATATGTTTCATACAGACTGAGAAAAGCCTTAAATTGCATTAACTCTTCACTAAAATATAACAACTTTCCAACTTTACCCCATGTAATATATACTTCTTTAAAAAAAAAACCATTTACACTATAAATGAAGGACAATATGGTACATTCATGATAAAAATTTAATAAAGTGACTTATAAATAGGATAAAAAAAAATTTCTCTCTCTGCCTTGTAAATAGGACCAGAGGAGTATTTTATAAGAGTGAGTCACAAGGCATGAGGAAACGATGTGCTTTTTCAAATTAAAAATATATTTTATTTCTGACAACATTGATGGGAGCTTGATACATAATTGATTTTTTTTTTTAAGCATCAACTCATGTTGCTAGATATTTCCCATTCGATCAACAATAAGAACTCTAAAAGGTTGAGTAAGAGAATACCTCTCAGAACCCAAAAAAAAGAAAAGAATCGAAAAGCATGTTAGCTAGATTTAGTTACATTCATTCTCTACTGTGAGCAAGGACAATATTCATGTAGAACAAGTTGCAAATTATCCACATAACTTCCACAGGTAAAAAAAAAAAGAAGAAGAAGAAAATTACATTATCTACGTAGTGTAAAATTGTAAGATATTTATATAAATATACTCAAAAGATAGTTATTGTTAATGAAACACTAGAGAGAGCTCTGAGTTTTCTCTGTTCTGGGAGATTTGCTTGGCACTTTCCTGCATCGTCTTTCAGTGTTCCTTTGTTGTGTTTCTTCTTCTCTACCTTTCTTTGTACCGTTTTCTCTTTCTTCTTTCGTTTCTTTTTTCTTCCTCCGCCTTAAACTTCCTTTGTTTTCCGCTTAGATTTACGCCCTCTTGCTCCGCTGCTTCATCAGTTTTCTTCTGCTGCTGCCGACTTCTTCTCCCTTCCCACCTTTCTTATCTCTTTTTCTCTATCTTTTTTTGTGCCTTCAGTTTCTTTTTCTTCCACTGCCATTATCTTCCGCTGACCTTCTTTTTGCTCTTTTCTTCACTGCCTTCGGTTGTTTCTTTGTTTCTTCCCTCAGCTCTGCTTCCTCTATCTCTTTGTCCTTCAGCTCTGTCTCAATTTTTCACTCCTCCCTATTTCTTTGGTCATGTCCCCTTCCTCTTCTCCCATACTTTTTGTTCGTTGCCTCTCTTATCCCTCTTAGTCGGGATTTTTAGTTCGAGAGTATAGGAATCCCAACTTGGGTTTCCTTGCTCATCTAAACCTTTTGCTGCTTTTGTTTGATGGTTTTTAATCTGCTTCGATGGTTAGTTGTCATAGAATGGACAGTGCTATGACAGTCTTGCTCTGTAGGCTGCTTATCGTTTGGTTTGTGATTTTGTTTGTGTTGTTTTGTTGCTTTTACTTTGTAGGTTACGTTTTGCTGTTCTGAATTCAAGCCCTTCTTACTGCTCGTCAAGCTTATGGCACCTCCGGTGCTGTTCTTAGGCTTTGCTCAAACACATCTGGTGTAGACGTCATGAAGTATCCGATTATCTTGGAGCTGAGCTTCGTGGTGGCATTCTTTGCTGATGGGGTGTTTAGAAACACCCAGAAGTGCTTTTGAAAAACACTTTCCCGTAAATCAAGATAAACTCATCCACATATTTGTCTCGTAGACTGTAAAATTACTTCTGAAACCATAGTTTGGTTGCAATTCAAACACCCTCTGAGTCTTGCATGTTGGGCTTGCTTTTTGTTGTAGTTTTTGTTGTTTCTCTGAGCTGGCCTGCTCTTAGAGGTTATTTGGGCACAACTCAAGCAGACCATTTGTAATAAGCTGGCCTTTTTATTTATAATCTTTTTATCTTGTGTGAATGAAGTTGCCTTTATTTCCCTAGGAAAAAAAAAAAAGTCAAAAGTCAAGTTAGATGGATGAGAACCGTCAAACCTTGCTTTTTAGTCTTACTAGATGGTAGAAGTAGTTGTGGTGCTGCTGCTTGGAATAGTCATGGCCAATGGATGGGGGGTTTTAGCTGTAAGATTATCTCCATACCACCTGCTATTGTAGAGATTCTTGGCATGATTAATGGATTGCAACTCTGTTGGAGCAGAAGTTACAGGAAGATATTGATGTATACTAACTATGTAGAGGCCATGTCTCTATTTTATAGAGGTTGTGATGAAAATTACATGTTTAAAAGCATTGGTGATAATGCTAAATTATTACTTCATAGGAATCAGACTGTTGTCCCGGTACATACCACTAATAAATATATCCCTATGGCTGATCATTTAGCCAAACTCTTTTATTTCATGGAGAGCAACTTTTGTATTCTAAACTAATCACCTTCTATGAGTGAGAGAGGGTTGAGAAAGGAAATTGGGTTTTGTTGGATTTGTTGTAATGTTTTAACCTCTAAGTATTGATTCAAAAAAAAAAAGTCAAGTTTGAAGCCCATTGGATGAGCTATCACATTTAATGGGAAAAGGGTGTTTCCATTTCCCTTGCTCCCATTTTTATCCACTTCTCATATCAATTGTTAAGATAGTAATTTGAATAGTATAGATTTCATATTATATAAAAATAAATTTATAAAATATTTTTATTATTGTTTTAAATAATCATGGCTGAAATTTAGTATTTTAATTTTATCTAATTTATTTTTAAAAAATATCACTTTATTCATAATTTATAAAATATGAAATTTGTACTGTTCAAATTATAATCTTATCATTGAGGGGAAGTGAGGGAAAACAGAGGAAAAAGGGAACGGAGACACCCTTCTCCCCACATATTACTTGGTCGCGTCTCTAATAAGTGAATATTGTTTTTTTCCCCCTAATAGTAACAAAGGATACTGTGCCTAGCAACCAAAAATGTATTCAAAAGTCAAAACAAAAGATTAGACGAAATTTTCTCATTTTGGTGATAAGCCCCCTCAGTTTATCTGAGGGTGATTTTGTTTTGTTTTTTTTTTTTTGTCCTGGCCACTAATTTGAAATGTTAATATATTTTTTTACCCAACAAATTTATTTTTATTTCAGTTTTAGTTTCCCAACAAAGATTTTGTGGTAAAATAGTGCAAATTTTTATAAAATTATAACAATTAATATTTTAAATAAAAAATTTTAAAAATTAAAACCTATAACTTAAAACTTAAAAGATTAAAATCAAAATAAAAATTATTTTATGAGACTAGAAACTACAAAAAAAAAAAAAAAGCCAAGATCCTAAACGGTGCGTTTCCGTTTTCGAGGGAATTAGGGAACGGCATAATCTTCCTCATCGCGCCCTCCTCTTCCATGAGGCGGCTCTGAGACTCAGTAGCCACCCATCCCCCTGATTCCCGTCGTCTTCCGATCAACTCAAAGTCTTCTTCTCTTCAGTTTCCACAGACCTTTCACTTTCAGATTCAGTGTTCTTGAGGTTCAGAAATATGGCGAAAGAACGTGCTTTTCTCGTGAGTTCCAAAGCGGAGTTGAAACGGAAGGAGAAGCAACAGAAGAAGGCCAAGTCTGGCGGTTTTGAGTCCTTGGGTCTTAGCCCCAATGTGTACAGAGGAATCAAGCGAAAAGGTTATAAGGTGCCGACACCAATTCAGAGGAAGACGATGCCAATCATTCTCTCAGGTGCTGATGTTGTTGCCATGGCTCGTACTGGCTCTGGTAAAACCGCTGCGTTTCTGGTACCCATGCTTCAGCGTCTGAATCAGCATCTTCCTCAGGGTGGTGTTAGGGCTCTCATTTTGTCCCCTACAAGGGACTTGGCGCTTCAGACTTTGAAATTCACCAAAGAGCTTGGCCACTTCACAGGTCAGAACCCATAATTTATGGCCTAAGTTCTACCAGTTTCTCCTCTACAGCTTAATTTCTTTAGCTCATTCTACTTGTCATTGTTACCTAGAAAAATTGGCCTTTGTGCTGTTTAAATGACATGGTTGATTCGTCTTTCTTGTTTCAGACCTTCGTGTTAGTTTATTAGTTGGAGGTGACAGTATGGAAAGTCAGTTTGAGGAGTTAGCTCAAAATCCTGACATTATAATTGCAACGCCTGGTAGGCTTATGCACCATTTGTCTGAAGTTGATGACATGTCGCTGCGCACTGTCGAATATGTTGTTTTTGATGAGGCAGATTGTTTATTCGGCATGGGTTTTGCTCAGCAATTGCATCAAATTCTTACGCAGCTGGGTGAGAACCGTCAAACCTTGCTTTTCAGTGCTACATTACCTAGCGCCCTTGCTGAATTTGCAAAGGCTGGCCTGCGTGACCCTCAGCTTATTCGTCTGGATTTGGAAACTAAAATCAGCCCTGACCTGAAGCTTGCATTTTTCACGTTGAGGCAGGAAGAAAAATATGCAGCATTATTGTATTTGATTAGGGAGCAAATTAGTTCCGATCAGCAGACACTTATATTTGTATCCACGAAACATCATGTGGAATTTCTTAACACATTGTTTAGGGAAGAGGGTATTGAGCCATCTGTATGTTATGGTGACATGGATCAAGATGCTCGCAAAATTCATATATCAAGGTTCAGGTCAAGAAAGACAATGTTGTTGATTGTGACAGATGTTGCTGCTCGGGGCATAGATATTCCATTACTTGATAATGTTATCAATTGGGACTTCCCCCCCAAGCCTAAAATATTTGTTCATCGAGTGGGGAGAGCTGCAAGAGCGGGGCGCACTGGTGCTGCCTTTTCTTTTGTAACTTCAGAGGATATGCCATACCTTTTGGATCTTCATTTGTTCCTCTCAAAACCAATCAGAGCTGCTCCAACTGAAGAGGAGGTTCTGCAGGATATGCAAGGAGCATTTTCCAAAATTGACCAGGCAATAGCAAAGGGAGAAACTGTTTATGGTCGTTTCCCTCAAAAGGTCTTAGATCTTGTATCAGACAGAGTTCAAGAAACCATTGATGCTTCTGCTGAGCTAATATCATTACAGAAGAGCTGTCAAAATGCATTTCGTTTATACTCGAAGACAAAACCCTTGCCTGCAAAGGAGTCTATTAGAAGAGTAAAAGATTTACCACGCGAGGGATTGCATCCAATATTCAAGAATGTATTGGAAACAGGGGAATTAATGGCACTTGCTTTTTCAGAGCACTTGAAAAAGTTTAGGTTAGTGCAATATTATACTCCTTCCAGTCCTAAATATAAGACCCATTTTGTAGTGTAATAAAATAAAATTACACTACAAAATGGGTCTTACATTTAGGATCGGAGGAGTATTTGAATAGTGGAGTCAAAGTAGATTACTTCTTTAATAGGTTTTTAAATTGCATTATTTTAATCCTTTTTATATTAGGCCAAAGCAGACTGTTTTGGAGGCTGAAGGTGAAGCAGCTAAATCAAAGCATCTGCAGGTAATTTCAATTTCTTCATGCCATGGCTTCGTTCAATTTTAAAACCCATGCTCTGGTCTAATTCAATAACTTTATTGTTTGTGTTGTTTAGACAAACTTGAAGTTTTCATCTTTAAAATATACTATTTATCTCATTGAGTTCATTATATTAAAATTTTTTTCCTCATTCTTCTGCTTGATCTATTTGTTCAGATATTGCTTCACTAAGTTGATATAAATATCTGGATGGTCTTGCTAAAATTTGAAATTCTTCATTATCATTTTTCTCTCCTTTCACTTCAGCATATAGGGCTTATGTTTTCTTTTCATTTTTTGTTTTTACTGAAGTATTACTCGTCAACATGCAAGAATCATGCATGGTTTGAACTTCATAATGAAATGTCGTGCAAGCATGTGTCTTGGATGTAAACTTGTATGTTTGTTTGATGCTTGTACTTACCATGCTAGGGACGTTATTGAATGTTTTGAGATAATGAGACTATCCTCAAAGACGTCTTGATGACTTGATGTATAATTATGTTGAGACACACCTTGTATATTTCTGATCAGAATATTTTGGAAGCCTGTTAAACATTTGGATGTGAAAATAGTTTTTTTTTAATCCTATACATCTCATTGTGTCTATGGATGGTAGATAGTGTGATGCGTTAAAATTTATCTTCTGCATCAATTGCCTCTTGGGCCCTTAAGGGTTCCAGCTTCTTCAATGAAAATTTGCTGCCAACTTTGATACATGTTTCTGAATTATTTGATATAATGGCACATGATCATAATTGGCTTTCCTCTGTTTTGTCTTACATAAAAGTATGATCACTTGCAGGGACCTGCTAGTCAATGGGTTGATGTGATGAAGAAAAAAAGAGCCATTCATGAGAATATTATAAATTTAGTCCATGAGCAACGCTCAAAGAATAAGGAAGAAGAGGTATTTGAATGTGATTAATGCTGTAATTGTGCTCATTACAATTTGACTACTTTTTTGTTTGGAAATGAACTCTATTATTACATGCCTGGATAACATATTAGAATGAGTTAATAATGGTATATTTGCATTTCTTTTTTGTCAGTACATATTTCTTTGTATGATATATTTCTTGGCTCCTTGCAGGGGGAAATTCAATTGGATATGACGCCTTCTGTGGAGAAAGGGAAAAAAGGTTTGTGCCTGTTGTGTTAGTCATTTAATTTTATTTCACTTTGATATTTTGTCTTTTTGTATGCATATGGAATTGTCAAAGTCACCCCCCCCCCCCCCGCCCTCAGTTTCCCTTTCTTTCAGACTATGGTTCTTGCTTTCATCATAGAAAATGCATTCTGTCTTCTATTCATAAATCTTAATATCGTTTGTTGAAAAGGAGCTAGGATGTTGTGATATTTTTTTCTTCTATTATTAGAAAAAGAAAAAGGAAGAACGTAGGATGTAATGATGCTTTGGAGTTTTTTTTTTTTTTAAATCAACCTCAAGCGCCTTGAAATATTTTATTGCATGAGAAAATATGAAGCCAAAGGGTTGTTAACGGGTTGAAATTAGAAGGTTAGGATTGTTAACATTTGAAGGATTTTAGTTTCTTGGAGTTGCTTTTTGGATTATAATTTAAAACAAGTATCACATAATTAGAAAAGCGTATATCAAGGTTATTAATATTTGACCATGTTTCTTTTGGTTTCAGCAGTATCTGGTTCTAAGAGAAAGCCACAAAGTTTCAAGGATGAGGAATTCTACATAAGCTCAATACCCCAAAATCACGTATGTCACGCTATCTTCTCTCTATTACGAGTACAACCATGTCATACACTATGCGGTTGCATCACTTTTGACATTAGAGGCGGCTAACTGTATATGTTGTGTTCTGCTGTCATTGTCAGCATATGGAAGCAGGTCTTTCTGTCAGGGCTAAAGAAGACTTTTCTTCTAATAGGTACTCTCACTGTGCTGATCAGCAATGCCCTTGTGTTTTGCAATAAGGGGAGGGGTTTATCTTAGAGAGGAATATGTAAAACGTGCCAGATCTTTTTGTCCACCATAATTGTGGCCCAACCTCAAATTATTTCATTTGGAAAATGCTCTGCTGCTTCTGAAGCAAAAAGCAAGAAGCCATATCTGTCTTTTCCACGTGTTCTGTTTGCAATTCAACATAGATGTCATTTATCACCTCCCTACCAGCCTACCTTTTGTCTCTTATTTATGTGCTTGCCTTAATGAGACTTAATATTGTAGATTGGAATCAGCTGTCCTCGATCTAGTTGCAGATGACAGTGCGGGCATTCAGAAACAAAAGTCAGTATATCATTGGGACAAGGTATGTGAATCAATTGTGCGTTAATGTTATCGCCATTGTACTCAAAATCCCCCTATTTTACTCATGGATACGTTTTATTTGCAGAAAAGTAAAAAGTACATCAAGCTAAACAATGGTGAGCGTGTTGCTGCAAATGGAAAGGTACCTTATCTTTGTAACACCTTTTCTCATCTTTGGTTGTTTACTCTATAATATGGGGTTCTCTTCTTTTGACTTCTTAATATGACCTTATGCCTCATGTTTATGTTCTATACATGATTATAGATAAAGACAGAGGGTGGTGCAAAAGTGAAGGCCACCAAGACTGGTATATATAAGAAGTGGAAAGAACGCTCACACAATAAGATAGGTCATAAGGGGATGGATAATGAAGGTGATTCTTATGGAGCCACTAGTTCAGCAGGTGTGGATTTGCTTCTCTTGATATTACATGTTTGTTTGAGTTCCTGTATGTTGGAGATTAGCTAGTATCTACTATCCTGATAGATACAAAGGAGGCTGCATGGGCTGGTCTTACCTTGCTTCCCTAGGAAGGATCATTGCAGCTCAATGCTGTGAAGTGTGCCTAAATATGTTCTAGCTTACTTGAATTCTATTATCTGTAACTTCTCTGAGAAAAGGTGTTGGCTTTTGCTAGTTACTAGTTACAAGTGGAATGGAATGAGGTGAAGGTATAAAATAATTGGAAAGCCATCAACCTACTATCAGGCTAGTTTAACAGGTTTTTAGAAGTAGCATGAGGCGGTTAACTTTAATTATATGATAGTTATGAGCAATGACTTGTTTTAGATTGTAATTCATTGTTTCCATCTTGTCATTGGATTCATCGAATGGCACAATGCATTCTATGAAGAAATGAAAACAAAAACTTAAAGGAATGATTTAATTGTAGGTCAACCATGCCTGTAATTACTATTCCCGTGTCCTGTAAGGGGGAAAAAAAAAGGAGGGAGTAATTATTTTTGGAACGAATTTGTACTTGTTTAAATCAGATCTATCTCAGTAAAATTAGGTAGTTTTCTTTGTAATTGCTGCATTTTTGGTAAGTTATTTTTGTAAAGTTTCCTGTGCAACGAGAAAATATTCTTACATAGATCCTGTCAATAAAAACAATAGCTGACAAATCCAATCATGGATAAACTTGTCAGCATATTAGTAGACTTCTGCGGATTTCATGTTTACGTGCTTCTATTCTATGTTCGATCACGGTTGGATTGGTCAAGTAGGCTTTTTGGAAGACAAACATTCACCCAGTGAATCTCTTGTTCATTGCTTGCTGGTGGTGACTGTTGTTTTGTAATGTCATACTGGCGCAATTTATCCGATGCTAATGACAAGTTGAATGTGTAAACTAAATTTTTTTCATCATTTGACTCTTTCTTTCCATCTTTCAGGGCACTCCCGAGGCGGTCCCCGGAAATTTAAAGGCAGCAAGAAGCAGCATTCAGTGCCAAATGCTCATGTGCGTTCAGAGATCAAAGATCTTGATCAAATTCGAAAGGACAGGCAGAAGAAAGCTGACAGACTTTCTTATCTGAAGAGCCAGTCTGCTAAAAAGGGTAAAAAATTTGGTAAAAATGGGAAAAAAGGAAAGGGTGGTGGTGGACGTGGAAAGAAAGGGAAGGGAAGGTAAGATTTTGTCAGTGACATTTTGGAGGAAATGTTACTTTGTTTGTTTTAAAATATTTAGGAGCAGGGAAAGCGAGGATCACAAAGAAGATAGGAAATGAATTAGAGAAATGTGGCTCTCTAGTGAAGTGAGGAGAAAAGTAAACTGTATATTTTTTCCCTGGGGGCAATTTTGTTGGTTAAATGCAAGGTTTCCATTGTAATGTTGTGCAGTTCTCATTCTTGAATTTTGCCCTATTCTCCAGTGCTTTTCTCAATCATGACATTTTTAGTTCATCTTTATTTTTGGTGTAAAATCATTTTATTTACTTCGGCAAAAGCTATAAAGTCCATGGAAACTGTAAAATGTTAGTGGATCTGAAAAATTATAAAAATTTCGGGCTTTGACTCAATGGCTTGTATGTAATACTCCATCCATCTGGGTCAAAGTGTAAGTATCAAATAATTAAATCACACAACTCAAAGGATCGGTTAAAATTAATTAAAAATAATAAATGCGTAAGAAATGTAATTTGTTTTTAAATCCCTCTTATTTATGGGGAGTGCAAGTGGGAGAAATATTGAGTGAAAAGAGAAATGAGAGAAAATAAATGAAAAAAATAGATGAGATGTGTAATCAATTATGAGTAAAAATAAAAAAAATGTATTAAGTGATAAAATGAATGTAAACTGTGTCTTATAAAATAAAAAAAAAAAGTAAACCTCTTTAAAAATTTGATGCTTATATTTAAAATTAGAGCAGGTTAATGTGTATATATACATAATACATGATAAGATAAAGTTAAAATTAATTTATAACCTCTGAAGTTGACACTAACAACTTTGTTTTCCTACTTAAGAAAAAGAGATATGTAATACTGACATACCAAGTTTGAATCAATTTTGCAAACTTGATTTTGGTTATGACAGTGGGGACCTTTTTTTTTTTGGGGGGGGGGGGGTTGAATTTCAATTGTCTACATTTTTTCACAGGAATTGTTTTAATTTTATTTGGTTGTTTTATAAAAATAAAATTTAAATTCATTTATTTTAAAAATTATCAAAATATTAAAACATAATTAGATATAGATAGTATTTAAATGATTTTTTAATCTAATCTCACTCTTTTAAAATATTAAAAGCTTTCTATACCTACTGTACTGTTAGTTAATCCACTCCTAAATAATACATCTATATAAATTTAAAAAAATATATTTCATTGATGTATTTGATGTGATATTTATATACAATTTTTTATAAATATTTTTAAATATGTAAAACTAATTTTAAAATATAGAGCGTCTCTCATCAATTAGTATTATATATCCTTTAATTTTTTGGTAAAATATTATATATCTTTTAATATACTAGTTGTGATTCTCAATATAAAAGTTAGGTAACTAATTTATGAATATTAAAAAACTACTTGAGCTAATTATTTATAATAAATACATATAAATTTTTTTTAAAGTATCATTGTTAATCATATGTATTCGAATCACCCTATTATTAAATTTTTAACGTATGCAATTATCATAATCGCTACTACTCCGTCCCTTATTATAAGATCCTTTTAATTAAATTGCACGGTTTAAGAAAAAAGTTAAAATTAGTTAAAAGCAATTATGTAGCAAATACAATTTTTTCCCAAATATACTCCTATATATAAATGAATAGATGTGAGAGAGTAAGAGTGAGATAAGTGAAGAAAGAGAATGTATTGAATGCATTAAACTAGGGATAAAATAGGTAATAATGTATTAAATATTCAAACAAACTCAAAAGGGATCGTATAAAAAAGGACAAATCTATTCAAAAAAATTAGATCTTATAGTAAGGGATGGATGGAGTATTTTGAAAAAAAATAGATACATATGAGAGACAAAATAAATTAAAATCTTATATTTATAAATAAATTGAATTTTTAATTATATTGAGAATTAGAGATATTTGGCCTTGTTTAATTTTTGACTTCATTTGTCTTATATCCTGCCTTATTTAGTTAAATTCTTTGTTCCAAAGTTTTTCATGACCTATAATTGATTTTCTAAGTTTTAAAAAACAATGTTACATTCTACTCTCACATTTCTTTCTTTATTTGTTACCTGTTCCAAAGTGTGAACTTGAACTCTTCATTTACAATTATGCTTAATACTCTCTTAAGTAAATGGAGCGATTTGATTTAGTAAACAATGAATTTTGATATGGGCAGGATTTAGGCGATAAGGTTGGTGTTGAGGGTATCATTTTAATAATGTGATTAGTCTTTTTTTTTCCCTATTGATTTGGTAATTTAATTAAATTAATTTCAGTTGTAGTTTTTTTTTTTTGGGTGTTGGATTTGATCTAGAAGGTGTAGTGAAATTGTAGGGAAACTATTACCTCTACAAACAATGGCAAATTCAAAATGTTGAGTTAATGGAGATAATATATATATATATATATTTAAAGAAAGTAAATTTATAAATATGAATAATTCTTTATATTTTTACTCCTCCGATCCTTAATATAAGACCCAATTATTGGTTGGTTTTGGTCTTAAATATAAGACCCATTTATCATGTTTATTAATTTTCTCTAAATTACCCTTATGGATACTCTTTCAATCATAATTAAACAGAAGAGGGAGATGAGGTATTAAGAAAGATAATTATAGTATTTTAGAAAAAAAACATATCATATTTTTATAATTAAATAACTTATCTAATTTTCTTAGTCTAATCAAATTAATTAAATAGGTCTTATATTAAGAATCGGAGAAGTATCTTAAATATATACTTGGATTTTTTGACTTAGTGTGACTCTTATGTGTAAAGTGAGGTATATAAATAAAAATTGAAGGTTTAAATTTTTTTATTATATTTATAAAAGCATAATATTTTTTAAAAATTTACAAGTGATATTATAAATTTTTTATAAGTAATATATATAAATTTATAACAATTAGTGTTAGTGTATTTTGTGCTTTTATCTTTAAATTTAATTTAATTTATTCATTTTAATATAAATTTAAATTCAAAGTGCATTTTATTTAATAATTTAATACAATTTAATTATTGTCATGGTAAAATATAAAGGTTTATTTGCTTTTTTGTATTTATTAAAAGAAATGGAATTGATTTGGTACAGAAAATGACGAAAATGTTTTTATAGAAAAAAAAACAAAAAGGACACAGACGAAAACGCCCTTATAGAAAAGGAATTACCACAACAAAATGCGCCCTCGGCTGGTAGGAGGCGCATATTCATTCTTTTGGGTCGGCATTCCACAGTCCACACTTGGTTGAGCTCGCCGTCGGACGCTGTCCACTGTTGTCAGGCCTGCGTGGTTTTTTCCGGCTGGTATTGAAGAAGGTACGAACCCTAGAGTTTTGTCCTCTCCCAGAATCCAACGAGTTTGATTTGTTTAATCTGACTCTGAATCTGGATTGGAATTTGTTCCCCCCGCTCATCTGTTCATCCTGCGTCGGACGCCGTCGCTCCGCTTCTTTCTTTGTTTTATTGTTTTTTCATTTCAATTAATTGGAAGATCATAAATTGCAAGAGTGCTACCATTGTCATTCTTCAGTGGCTTGGAGGAGTTGCCTGAATCATTTGGCTTACTAAGGCATTTTCGTTGAATTATCTGGAATAAAAATTAAAACCGTATGATACGGACTATGCATATTTCAAATATCAGCCCCACTTAGTGCAATATAGGTCTGCCTATGTTTGCAGATATCTCCTGCCATCGTTTGCAGTTGAGCGTCTTTCTGTGTCAGGTTCATCATTTTTCTTGTATTTGCTGCTGAAATGATGCTATTGTAGGCGCTAATTGGCAAAACTTGTCATTTACTTCCAAGCTTATTGTTAATGTGCTCATTTGCTTCATATGATGATAGCTCTCTCTCCCTTGGCCCTAAGAATTAATAATGGGATTCCTGAGAAGAAGAATTTTTGAAACAGTTCTTACCTTCTCATTGGTTCCACAGCTAATAAGAATGTAAATATATTAAGAAAAATATCATACAAAGATGGAAATTAGGACTTTTTATTTTGATATCCTATGTTGAGTGAGTGGAACTATGACTGCAGAGCAGATTAATACACGAAAATGAACAAGGATAAAATCTTCAAGCTGGCAAAGGGCTTCCGTGGAAGAGCCAAGAATTGCATAAGGATAGCTAGGGAAAGGGTGGAGAAGGCCTTGCAATATTCCTACAGGGACCGCCGTAACAAAAAGAGGGACATGCGCTCCCTTTGGATCCAACGGATTAATGCTGGCACCCGCATTCATGGAGTATGTATTACATTCCATTCTCTACTCGCTAATTATTAGTTTGCAGAGGATCGATCCTCTTGCTTATTAAGGAATTTTCTTTGCTTAGATGAATTTTCCTTTAATGAATTTAAAAATGTTAAGAATGTCAAAAAGGAGGATATTGCAGAATAAAGAGGTCCAAACAAAAATGAATTTCTGGATCTTGGAAGTAATATAGTTGGCTCAGAAGGAATTTGAATTGTTTGTTGCTTTTAGTTGTTGAATTGGTCTGGCTTGTGGGGGGACGTTACATGAATAAAACATTGTTCTGAATTGTTTGATTTTATTGATATCCACCTTTTTGTATCCGTTTCTTCTTTAATTCAGTGGTTACAGAGTGGTGCAATAAAGAAAGTATTACTTTGTTGAAAATTTTGAACTTTTTCCTTCTTTTCTATTTCTACCAGAGTCCCTTGTAAGTGAATGCCTGTGTTCAAATGTGGTGCTATCTTGGTATCACTATGTGTATCCATGTCTTATTCATCAAAGAAACTATGAATAACTATTTTTTATTGAAGTTATTTGTTGTGTCTATTTTTACTGCTGGTGTTTCCATTTCACAATTTTTAGCTGCATATTTTAAAGGGAATCCCACCATATCCTCCTTTAAATCCGTTCTGTCTAACATGAATTTTTATTAGAGAAGTTAATTAAGTTAAAAAATTGCATTCCTATGTGAACAATTTTGCTTTCAAGAAAGGTTCCCTTAGTTGAAGTCAGACAAATTCTGGTTTTGTATATCAATCTTGCATTTCTGTAGAATCTGAGGAACACTGCTGTGCATAATATTTTTTGCGACTTAGTGATCATACAGCACATGTGGTGATTGCAGCTTTTATTATGTGTGGAGAAATATTAATGTTATCAGCATTTGGATGATCTTCAGGGAAAAAGGGTGTTGAGTGTTCTTGCATTGAAAAATTTAGTAATTAAAAGGTGACATGCTAGAGTAGCAATTGTATGAGGTATTGAGCCAAACTATGCATGATAATCACTTACTTGG